AAAATAATGACCGCATAACCCAATGACCTGTAAACAGGTCAACAGAGAATTTGTCGTCTCTTTTGTTCCTCCGCGGTTTAAATGGATGACGGAGTTTGACGTCAAACTCCGTCAGCCATTCAAACAGCGGAGAAACAAAAGAGACAACAAATGCTCTGGGCCTAGCCTGTTTACGACTCATTGCGCATTACCTTGACAATTCGCCTTTCCGGTCACTCTGTAACTCTTTACTCCTATGGTAAAATCCCATAAGCATACATCAGTCTGTACGTGAAACATGGTGAACATTTCCTTACCCTTTCACTCCTACGAAAATCCCATAGTAAGATACTGTCTTTCCGTGAAGAGACGGCGGTTTGCTGGTACCATGGTGGAATGAAGAGATAAGAAAAAGTCCGCTAGATTTCATGCACCGATTGTCAGATGCTTATGAGATTTTATCATAGGAGTAAAGAGTTGAAGAGTCAACGTCATCGTCAATGCTTACTGATCCTGCAACCGTATATCTGCCTTTCTTTCATATGGGCCAATGCCACAAACGCGTATTTCCCTTTTTCCGCGAATTTCCCGATAATGAAATCTCACTCAAGTAAACCACCACAATGATTGTGTAGAGCGAGAGTCATCCTATGCGATAGAAATTGAAGGCTTACATGGATTGATTTTGAACTACATGAAATTCACGAATGAAGCCATTGTTTACATTTTCAATATTGGTCCTTATTAGAAATACTCAGAGGGAGAGATAGGCGGAGAAAACAAAATACAATTCGGCAGCAGGGATTTGTACCTAAATTATCTTGCAACCCTTGCTAGAAGCTAGCATTTCACATGACTTTTACTTTTGATTCAATTAACGTGCAAAATAATAAGTGATTGCATCGCAAAATTTTGCACATTTGTTGGTGCCATTAATTAACCAACTAAAATCAATTAAAAAATAGAGTTAGAATATTGTTTTGACGTAGGACTACGTCTGTGATTTCTATATGAGGGAACACTTTGTTAAATCCGAAAAACATGTAACAAAATTATGAAAGATTTTGAACGTTAATAACTCAGCTGCCCCTGGACCAATTTCAATAATTTTATCACCAATCGATTAAAAATATTTCTACACATCTGTTAAATTTAAGACTTTATAATTTTTCAAAATGTCACTATTGAAAATTGCATGAATGTGCAACTGTTGCTATGATATTTAAAATTATCACCAATTGCCTGCGAAAAGCGATATCCCTTACACAGATCCGAGGGGGACGACTCTGTCTACGATGCGGGAACGATTTTGTTTTAGTGTGGTTAGCTGCGCGCACGTTGAGTAGATAGAAAGAAGATTTATTGCGATTCTGAAGATTTCCTGCAAAAATATGATGCGCGATGCAAGCAACAATCAATACGAAACTATCGATTTTAAATTGGCTCACTACTTCACTAGCCTATTGGTCCCAAGCAAATCGATTAACGAGAGCCCCATTCTAGTCAAAATTCTAGAACTACACAATGTTTGTTTTGATTCGCTATGAAAGTTTGACAGATAAAATGAGGAGTGAATCGATTAGCTCGGCACCGAAGATAGTACCAGAGCTGAGCCAGAAAGTTAAGCACGTTTCTTCGAGACCTACTAGTCTTTGAGTTACGTCTATGATGCAAGTAGATGCGAGAAATTAATGAAGATTTTTAGTAGATTGGTTTGCTAGTGTAAGATTTTTCCAGCATCTAGAATTGAGATTTAAATGTGACGCCCCCTTCGCTCAGATCTCAAAGTTGAATTCCATCCGGTCTCATCAGGCTGCCTGCAAGCAGCGAGTTGCAGCCCACATGAGCATTAGACTGATGCAAAATTTGAAATTTTCGTTCCACAGTGCTCAAACGGTTTCAAATCGAGTCCTGATTAGCCTCCGAAAGTTTAAACTGATTTGATAAGAAACTGGCTTGACACAAACCATTTGAAGTTTATATTGAAATTACTATGGGAAAACCAAACTTTTTGTTCATTGTCTTCTAGTCTTTTTTTTCGTATTGTACTGTTAACAAGTTCTTTTGCTGTTCTTATGGGAATTTTTATCAGCTACAACTTTGCAGAACATCATTTTTCAGCCAAACGTCAAATTAAATAATTATTAATTGTTTAAGAGATTGATAATCTTATGGCAAGATTAAGCAACTGTATTGTGGGCAAGACTGTATTCTGCAGTGTGACATAGCTAGTAGCCATGATTTTTGTCCACTATTCTACGTGCCATAAACACCAATGTTGCCTGCTGAACAGTTGATTGAGCATAATCATAAGACATCAGTGACTTGAATCATTAATAATTTTTGTTCCTTACATTATTTCGAAAAGTGGTCTTCAACAAAGTTGTAGCTGAGAAAATTTTCAACAAGTTCAGCTATCATTTTCTAAAGTAGAGTGAACTGGTGAAATATGAGATTGATATGAACCGAAATTATGGTTTCTCCGTAGTAATTTCCATATAAACTTCAAATGGTTTGTGCCAAGTCAGGTTCTTATTAAAGGAGTTCAAATGTTGGGAGGATAATCAGGACCCAATTTGGAACCGTTTGAGCACTGTGGAGCGAAAATTTCAAATTTTGCATCAGTCTAATGAGCATCCATAGAAGAAGGAATAAGCCGCACCGCTATTGATCGGAATCAGTAGCTCTACGTGAGTCGCTGTGGACCATCTAGGTCAAGCGCGTCATACTAAAGAGTATAAACAGTGAGAACCCCGCTCAAATTCCTATTCCTACACAAAACACAAGCTCCTGCTGCAGTTAACAAATAAGATTTATTATATAAGACCACGTAGTCCTACGTCACTATTGCGGAAGCCTTATAGGGCTGTCCCTTAGAGTTTTTGATTCCAAAAACTAGTTGAATTTGAGAAGCACACGAAACATAAAGGTGATTGAATTTCTGTTCGATTGCAATACTCTCAAATATAATCTAGTAAGAATAAGAAATCCTCGGACAAATTCCAATGGGAATGTTCGACTGGCTCAGATTTTGGCGGTTCATTTGGCTCAAAACATTCTCTTCACCCATCTCTCCCTCTGAGTATTTCTAGTCCTTATGAACGCTCAGTGTCGATATCACGAACATTAAATAACATTTTTATTTTGACAGATCGATGTCCAACTATGCCAGTTATACCACTGAGGAAACACAAAAAAATGTTACAACTTTTAGTCAGCTATTTTGCAAACGGAAGTTTTGCAGAATGTCGTGAAACCAAGCTTAGAAAGAATGTACAGGAAGGATGATTACGTGTTTCAGCTGGACGGAGCACCTTCTCATACAGTGAATTTGGTCCAAAACTGATGTCGGGCAAATTTGACCGACTTTTTGGTCAAGAATGATCTAAACTCCTTGGATTATTTTGTGTGGTCATACATGCTGTCGAAAATAAACAAGCACAAGGTGTCTACTTTGGCCCACTTTAAAGCCGTAATCCTTCGAATTTGGGACGAAATGCCGATGGAAGTCGTGTATGCCGCTTGCGATGGGTTTGAAAGACGCTTGAAGCTGGTCAAAAAGGTTAAAGGCGGTGTTATTCCGAAACATATGCTGTAATTAATCCATATAATATTACCTTTCAATAAAAACAATTCCAAATAAAATCCGAATAACAGATGTGAAATAATCAAATTTGTATTAGAATATATTGAAGACGGTACTAAACGCTTGAGGTAAATTTTGTTCAACTCGCAGCACATTTTAAGTTGCATAGAAGTTTTAGTTTGAACAAAATGATTAGAATTTAGATTATTTCATTGTGAAAATAAAATCCCTACATTTGCCCGGTTTTCCTGGTTAACTTGCCACCCTGTTATTTGTTATAGACATCCTCCCGCATATTTTGCTGCTTCGCAAAACAACTGCTAAATCTGTTCAAATAACCCTTCCTCAGAAACACGACGCGATTCGTATCGCCCCATCGCCGTGTTCACAAGTCGTCTACGGGGTACGTGACATTCTTTGATGTGGAATCGCGATTACAGGATCAGACACGTGTTGTTGGTAAAGTAATTCCATCGCGAATACATTGCACATTCGAAAGTTAAATTCTGCCAAAATTAGACAGATTTTGGCTGAAATTTATCGTGCAAACATAACATGCGCCTTCCCACTTCCAACAACACACCTTGAACCATAAACCAAATCAAAACGCAATCCATAGGTAGGTAAGCTGGTAGCTAGCGAGCTGCTGACTACACGTGCTGGGTGACGATGGTAGGTACCACCATGCAGCATAGAGAGGTAATAAATTAGTGCTTCTCTACATGCATGAGCTGCCGACGTTCTTCCCTTGTTGCCACCAAAAGAACAGAAGAGAGGTTGTAGTCGAGTCGCTCAATTTGCTGCCTCCCTCGAAAATCTCCGTATCCGAGGGTTCTATATCAACTTTGCAGTGGTGGGTGGTTGCATGTTCATGTTTACTGAAAACACGGGGAAAGGGTGTGGGGCGACGGGGTTCAGGTGTGCAAGAGTCTTCTAAATCAACCAACCATCCAGCATCCCTCGTCGTCCCGTTCTCTCGCCGCGCTCGTTTGCTAGTTGAATGAAACGGCTGCTATGGCATAACCATCACCACTGAGTGTCGAGCCGGTGTGCTAATGCTGTGTAGTAGTTGTACAAGTATAGAACAACAGTGGTGAGAGTTAACATGGCTTGCATATTTTACACCTGGCTAACTTTGAAATTAAGAATATTTATTATTCATACGATGGTTTTTGTTTTGGGTTTCAGAATTAGCGGAAGGGGAGTTGGTTCCAGTTGAGCGAAGCTCGAGAGAAAGCTCTTTAGAGGGTCTATTGAAAGTTTTAGCCAGTGATGCATTCATGAAACACCCCCTCCTAACTACGCCGCTGGCTGCCCCAAAGTACTACCTCTACCGTGCCGGTGTACATGCTAATTTACCGCTCTTGTTCGTACAAACAATACCCACTCTGACTGACCCAATTATCTATCTTATGCTTTTTCTCTCTGATACTAGTCATGCGAGGAAGCGATACTGAAGCTGAAAACGGCCGCCGCTAATCCCCAGACACCGGTCTACTATGTGGTCAACCAGATTCTCTACCCGCTGGTGCAGGGCTGCGAGTCGAAGGATGTCAAGATTATCAAATTCTGCCTCGGGATGATGCAACGGTTGATCACCCAGCAGGTGGTGGACCAGAAAGGAGCCCGCTACATCACCGACACCTTGTGGATGCTGATGGAGAACGGCACCGAGGAGGTCAAAGTACTGCAAAGTGTGACGCTCCTGCTGACGACCAACACCGTGGTTCACGGGGAAACGCTGGCCAAAACCTTGGTGCTCTGCTTCCGGTTACACTTCACAAAGGATTCCACAACGATCAATACGGCCGGTGCCACGGTGCGGCAGCTGGTTTCACTCGTGTTCGAGCGGGTGGTGGCAGAGGAAGCGGAAGCGGAAGCCAATCAAGACGAGAAAAGGGAGGTAAACTTGGAAGAGCTTAAATTAGCGACGGGAGTCGCCCCCAAGGGCTTGAGACCATGTGCAGCGGATGCCTTTCTGCTGTTTCAGGACTTGGTCCAGCTGGTCAACGCAGATCAACCCTATTGGTTGCTCGGTATGACCGAAATGACACGCACATTCGGCCTGGAGCTGTTGGAATCGGTATTAACTCAGTATACGTCCGTGTTCTATAAGAATCCGGAATTTTCGTTCCTACTGAAGGAACGTGTTTGTGCCCTAGTCATTAAGCTGTTCTCGCCTAACATAAAGTATCGATCCATGGCTCCGCAGAATGCCCAAGCCACGGCACCGCACGATAAGCCCTACTTCCCTATTAGTATGAGACTGCTACGGGTCGTTTCGATCCTGATCCAGAAGTACCACAGTCTGCTGGTTACGGAGTGCGAGATATTCCTGTCGTTGATTGTTAAATTCCTAGATCCGGACAAACCTTCCTGGCAGCGGTCACTTGCTCTGGAAGTACTGCACAAGATGACAGTCCAACCGGAACTGTTGATCTCTTTCTGCCGCTGTTACGATCTTAAAGATCATGCCACCAATATTTTCCAAGACATCATCAACTCCCTCGGGACGTATGTGCAGAGTTTGTTCGTCAACAGTCAGCTATTGAATAGTTCCGTTGGTGGAACTCAGGGTCAACCGGCGGCCCTGATAGGAGGTCTACCGGTAGGACCGGGAATTTCTCCTCAACCGGGTTTCTTGTTCCGTGGAGTATTCCTCCCGTTGGTGGTCATTTTCCCGACCGGCCAGTCAAAATCAACCTTCCTGGAAATGCTGGATAAGATGGAGCCTCCGCCGATCCCGGACGGATACGGAATATCGGTGGCTTATGCTTGCCTTCTAGACATCGTTCGATCGATCTCCCTCTCAATCCAAGGACCTTCCCAACTGGGCGATGAAAATCTAACCCCTTACAAGAACCGTGTGACGGAGGACGAAAAGGCTCTACACATCCAACTGATCTACTCCAGTTGGTTGGGACTCCTGTCCGCCTTGGGACCCCTCATCGATGCTGCCACCGATGAATCCACCACAGAAAACATCCTGAAAGCCATTCAAAACTTTGCCGCTCTGTGTGGCCTGTTGGAGCTGCACACCCCTCGGGATGCCTTCATTACAGCGCTATGTCGGGCTTCACTTCCGCCACACTATGCCTTATCAGTGCTGAACGTCAACTACCAGGGCAATCAGTTTAAATCGCACTCCCGAGGTGGAAGTCAGGACATGGGAAACATGTTCCTTGGCTCGTACGGGGACGCAGATCAACAGCAGCAGCAGCGTCATCCAGTGGTCGCCGTTGGCACTCCGCTCCCGACTTCATCGCTTCCCGTGGGAGCCCATCAAGGCCCAGTTCTGTTGACGGTCAAGAACCTCCAGTGCATGAGATCCGTTCTGCACCTAGCACATTGCCACGGAGGAATACTCGGCAGCTCGTGGCATATCGTTCTGACGACCCTGCAGCATTTGGCCTGGATTCTAGGCTTGAAACCATCTACCGGAGGCAGTCTACAGGCCGTTCAGAAACCGCCAACCGACTCCAACTCGATAACACAGGTCATGACCGATCTGCCGGTGCTGTCCCAGATGTTGAGTCAGTTGTTTGAATCAAGCCAATACTTAGATGACGTTGCTCTCCACCACTTGATCGATGCCCTCTGTAAACTTTCCCACGAAGCCATGGAGCTGGCCTACAACAATCGAGAACCGTCTCTGTTTGCCGTGGCTAAACTGCTGGAGACGGGACTGGTCAACCTAAACCGCATTGAAGTCCTATGGCGTCCGTTGACGAACCACTTGCTGGAAATCTGCCAACATCCTCACATCAGGATGCGAGAGTGGGGCGTTGAAGCGATCACCTATCTCGTCAAGGCAGCCTTGCAATACAAATACGAAAAACCCCTGAAGGAAAACCTGAAACTTCAGACGCTTCTTCTAGGGCCTCTCTCGGAACTGTCCTCGGTTCCGCACGGTGATGTCCGTCAACGGCAGTTGGAGTGTGTTCTGCAGGTTTTGAATGGAGCCGGAGAAACCCTATCCCATGGATGGCCTCTGGTCTTGGGGATAATCGGTGCAGTCAACGATCACCACGGAGAAGCCCTGATCCGGATTGCCTTCCAGTGTCTACAGCTGGTCGTAACGGATTTTCTCCCGGTGATGCCATGGCGTTGTCTGCCTCTTTGCGTCAACACGGCCGCCAAGTTTGGATCCCAGATGCAGGAGCTGAACATCTCGCTTACCGCCGTTGGATTGATGGTAAGCATTTGTGAACTCGCGTTGTGATCTTGATGGGTAATTTTCAACACATCGATTTCAGTGGAACATCTCGGACTACTTCAACCAGAACCAGGAAAAGCTGTCGCAAACAGTGTGCGACGATACGTCGGTCTTGCCGGACTTCCCCGGAACGCTGAATATGCCCCACTTCGATCGACTGTGGATGTGCCTGTACGCGCGGCTTGGTGATCTGTGCGTCGATCCACGACCAGCGGTTCGCAAGTCGGCTGGGCAGACTCTGTTCTCGACGATTTCCGCCCACGGAAATCTACTGAATCCGCCCACCTGGCAAGCGGTCCTCTGGCAGGTGCTGTTCCCACTGTTGGACAAGGTTCGAGCCCTGTCCAGCTGTGCCAGCAGCGAGAAGGTCGACACAAGTGGGAACATTCTGATACACCACTCGCGGAACACGGCCCAGAAACAGTGGGCAGAGACGCAGGTCCTGACTCTGTCCGGAGTTTCCAGGGTAAGTAGCTGTGAGGTTGGATCTTGACTATCGCCAACTCAACTATCTTTTTCTGCAGGTCTTCAACACCAAGCGAGCTCTGCTGCAGATGCTCGGTGATTTCCCACGCGCCTGGGCGCTTCTGCTGGAGTTCATCGAGAATTCCGCCCTTAGCAAGAGCAACGAAGTGTCGTTGGCGGCGTTGAAGTCATTCCAGGAGATACTATACAATCGGCCAACGTCCTGTTCAGCGGATGCAGACACCATCCCAAAAGTCCCGTCTAAGGATGCGGCGGAAAAATCCGCCGCCGAAGAGATCGACATCTGGAACGTTGCATGGCGAGTCTGGTTGAACATTGGAGCTGAGAGCACAAAGCCTCCGTCGCTTGCCAGCGTTGATGGTCACGACAAGAATGGGGACGAGATCTACATCCCCAGCCAGGCATTCCTTACGGCGCTGGTGCAGATCTTTCCGGCATTGTTCCAGCACATTCGATCCCGTTTCAGCAATAAGGACCTCACGCAGCTGTGCATGGTGCTGATGAATGCGGTGGCCGTTCCGGTGCACAGTGATTCGACTCCGTACATCATGTCGACCATTTCGGATTCGCTGCTAACTCCGTTGCACGATGGAGTTCTGGATTGTATGGAGCTGCTGCAGAAGGAAGCCATTGGCGGTAAGGACGGGCTGAAGCACATGATATCGGCAATCTTCAAGCAGCTGTTGAGCTTCAGCAAGTTTGCGTGTGTTCCACCGTCATTCGATCGGATTGAGACGAGGTAAGATTGGTTGTCGATGATCATGGTATAAATATCAAGGGGAGGATGTTTAAATTTTCAGACCTATCAAGTCAACTCGTTCGGGAAGCGGTGGCGTTTCGCATCAGCTTCCGGCGGGTAATGGCGTCGAATGGGTCAGCATGAATTACATTCCTTTTGGAGAGAAGGCTTTAACGGTGGCGGTCAAACTGTATCAACAGACGGCTAGCGACGAGGCCGTTGTCGAAGGTCAGATCCTGCATGAGATCATCAAAGCGTTGCACCTGCCATTGTCCCTCAAGTACAAGTGTATGTCGGCTAGCACATGGAAGCTGGCCATCTCCAGTTTGATGACCGCGCTACACACTGGCCTGCCAGTTGCTCGAAAGCACACAAAGCAGTTCGCCGCCATGTGGAAGGATCTGTCCGATACGCTAGATCAGTTCCTGTTTCCTAAGAGGTAAGTTTCTTGAATACAATTATTCTAGCGTGGTGCTAAGCCAAATCCCTCTGTAGTGTTTGCATTGTGGAGGACCGTGGCCTGGACGAGCTGGTTCTGGACGAGACGATCGACTGTCAGGTGATTGAGTTGATACGCGACGAAATCCTCCCACATAGCCACGAAATCCCGCAGCAGTTCATTCTGGATGCGGTGGTCCTGCTGAACAAGGGTTCGATCCATTCGGCCACCACCGGTAGTACACCGTTTGCGGGTTGTGAGACGGAACTGAAGCTGCGTGAGGAATTTGCCAAGACATGCTTCGAAACATTGCTGCAGTTTTCGCTGCTGGACGATGGAATTGCTGGGGTAGCTGCGGCAGCAGCAGCCGAAGAGGGAAGCAATAAGGTGAACAATAACAACGGGAAAGACTCGGCAGGGGCGACCGTCCTCGGAGGAACCGGAGAAGGTGGTATCGCGGGACGATTGGCCATTACGGCGCTGCTGCATCGGTTCGAGGAGGTGCTTCGGAAGTTTAACGATGACGAGCGGTTGAGCGGGAAGTTTCCACTGCCGAGGTGGGTTAAATGAAAGATTTGGTCGTTCTAATTTTTACAAATCCAACCTCCGTTTTAGATATCGACTCTCGGAGATTTCGTTTGTGCTAAAAGCTGTGGCCACTCTTGTGATATCGATGAAGAAGGCGCCCCCGGCAAAAGGTCAGTGTTTTATGACATGGCAGTTTCAAATAGTGCTATATGAAACAAATATCATTATCGTTCAAATATTAAATTCGAAGCTTATCACACTTTCCCAATTCAATCTCCAAATAGTGGGCACTACCGCCTGGGAACAGCTGATCGGATTGTACCCGTACCTGGTCGAGTGTACCACGACATCCTCGGCGGAGGTGTCTCGTTCCCTGCGGGAAGCTCTGCTCCAGTATTGTGATCTTTTGCGGCCACCCGCGTCGGCAATCGCTATCTCGACAAGCAGCTCCGCTGGTCGGATGGAGAACAACAACAAGCTGGCAAACACCAATGGCATCAGCCACTGTTAGCTGGTTTCTTTTCCAGCCGGAGGTTTCTACTTTCTGCTGCAGCAGTACGATTCCGGTTTGCTGGTCAAGATTGTTTTCTAAGGGTAAGTTTCTCATTCGCCTTTCGTTCGTGTAAGATAAAGCTTTTCCTCCCGCAATTTTCCCGATACCGTTTAGTTATGTTTTCGAAAAATGATAACAAATCGTGGAACATGTTTGTAAAAATCATATGAAATTTATTTATACCTTTATGGTTAAACTACAAAGAGTAATTTTATTATAAGCAGAAGTAGTACTAGATTCCTCTAACCTACTATATAGTTACTATACCTTAAGTACGACATGTGCAAAACTATGCTCGGTAGTCAATGTTTAAGTAAATGAAATTGTGATTAAAGCTATTTTTTCTACAACCTAAGCAAAACAGAACGATACGAGTAAGAAGAACTCCACATTGAAGCTTTCGCGCTTTCTATCGACACCTTTTTTAATTTCTTAAAAGGGGAAAACGAGTTCAGCTTTAATATTATTTTCTTTCTTCTCAAATTCCAAGGAAAGTATCACGTATTCCAAACAGCGTTCTTAATAATCAAACAATATCCATTCGTAATTCAACCGACCGTAGAGTGTTAAATAGCGTTATCAGTTGCTGCTAGAGTCATAAAATATCCCAAACATTAGAAGGTAATAGTGCCAATTTTAAAACTCTTCTAGAAACCTACATAAATTAAATTATATGCTACTCTTAGTTCCTGTTTCCCTAGCAATTTTGGATGTCGACTTGAGATTGCAATTTTAGCACAACCCACTAAAAATGAAGAAGATTACACATACTACCTAGCTCCGCAATAGTCTTATTTCACTACTCCACTTTCTTTCTTGAAAACCGGTGAAAACACCATCACAGAACGTTCATTCTGAACAACTCACTCGCACACACCCAAAAGAAGAAGGTTCAATCGCATGGTTGTGTTTTAAGATAGAACCGAAGGCTGGTTGGATCAACGCAGAACAGCAGATCAATCCGTGCCGATTTTTAACTTTAGCCTAATTAAACTACCTATACCTGTTTGTAACCTTAGAGGAAGTGGGGGTGCAAAATTACAGGCACAATGGACAACATAGATGACACACTCACTCATTCACAGACACATTCACAAGCATAAGCGAGAAGCAAAGTAAATTAAACACAGATTTGAGGTTAATGAATCAGAAAAAAATAACAAGAAAACAAAAAACGATACAATAAGAAGAAACGAATTTATATTGAGCGTATATAATTCTGAAAGTTTAATAAAATGGTTCTTCTGCATGATTCTAAGCATGAAGCTGGTGGAGAAGTTCACTCATGATCCGAAATTCCTGGTTTGTGTCTGTTGTGTCATTTAATGGATTACTGAGTGTGGTCGGTTTTGATCTCACCACTATTTTTTTTCCCCTTGATTTGTTTCCGTCGATCTTGTTTTCCGTACTACAATCAAAAAAGGCCACAAGTTTGATCGAAGTGTTTAAACACTTGATTTATAATATTCACAATCACATTTATTTAAAGTATATTTCACCATGCTTCAATGTGTTCTAAACGTTAATTTCTAATGTTTGTTGATAATGTTGATAATCACAATCTTTGAAATTTTATCAGTGTAGTTGACTTGCTTTTGTCTAAATCAATCTTGAAGCAAGTCGATTAAGATTGTTGGGAGCTTAATTAATCCAGGGTGTCGACTACGTGAAAAAACCTGGAAAATCAGGGAATATCAGGGAATTCTTTTTTGGACCTGGAAAACTAGATTCTGCGTCTGCTCGATGCAAAAATCATTCCCTTGAGCGCATTGGAGCGCTTTTGAGTAAATGCAAGAATGATTAAGAGTTAAGCTGGGCTTAGATAAGGAAAGTCATTGGTCAACTCAGTTGGATTCAATTGGCTTGAAAAGTTGAGCCTGGTTCAACTTTTTTCCATTCAAGTCAGTTAAATGGCATAGTTTATACGCTCAAGGCAGTTGAATTCAACTGAGTTGATCAATTGACTTGCCTTGTTTAAACCCAGCTTTAAGAGAAGATAATGATTTTTTTCTGAATACTTCTTGTTCTTTATTGTATTCTTATCAGCTTGATTAGCTCAGGGAACTAACTAATAAGAATTTAGGATAATGGTCTTGCTTTGGATTTTTTTTTTATTGCTTGGATTAGCACTTTTATGATTGAATAATGATTCAAAGATACGCAGCCAATCATTGCTTTGACATCATAGAGTGGCTGTAGTAAGTATTCTAGGTCTTCATTGTAAACCTGGTTAGCTCGTTAAATTAGCTGCACAGTAAAGTTTTAGTATGGTAATGTTGCTGCTATTGCAATTTATATGGAATTAACTTACAGAATTTTAGAGATAAAAGCGTTGTTTTTACTTTTTCCCACCGGAGGAATCCGCCAGCGGATTAGCTTTTGGTTAAGCATATTATCCAAAATAATTTTCTTACGGAGGTGGGTCTCAAAATGTGCTCGAGCAAAACAAATATAATGAGATTAAAAACAAGTGTTTCATATGTGAAATGCAGAGTGACCAGTGAACTGGGAAAACCGGAAAAAGCTGGAATTTGAAGTCACCGGGAACATCCCATGAATTTAGTTGACAAATCAGGAAAAATATACCTCGTCCTCTCTCCGAAAACAATAAGATTCCAAGAGCCTTGAACTGGTCTAGATTTTCAGGATAACTACAGTCACTTTGAAGAACAATTAGGGGAAACGCTCCTATAATCACGGTACGTTAGAAGCGTTAGGTTCCTATAGTTGTGTATGGAGACTCAATACACAACTATAGGAACCTAACGCTTCTAACGTACCGCAACTATAGGAGCGTTTACCCTAAGTGAATATTAGAATTTTTCCAAAGCAAATTTTAGCTGATTTTAGAATTAATTCTAGAGATAACACCAAGATATTTCAGAGAATATTTTCTAGGTAGCTTTAGGAAAAACTCTAGGAGAGTTTTTACTAGATCTCCCAAGAGTGAAGAGGATTCCAGGAATATTGAAAAATACCAAGGAACGCGAATTTTGAGGGTACAGTTCCAAAATAATTATGCGAAGATCTATAATGATAGTCCGAGTATATTCCAAGCGCATTTCGAAAGGAATTTCTAGAGAATGTTATGAGAATTCCATGAAATTTTCAGAAGAATATAGAGGAGCATTCCAAGGTAATTCTGAGCAAAATTTGAAAACAATTCTCGGCAGGAAGGCAGGGAAGGGGGATTACAAGTTTTGCTCACAAAAGCCAATAGGCCCTTTTCAATTCTTGGTGAAGTCTACGAAGAATTTCATGCAAATTAAAAAAAAATTGAAGCTCCAGTGAATTCTTAGAAAGAGTTTAAAATTCGAAGAAAGGATGAATTTTAAGAGTTTTTTTGAGTGTTCTACAGTGTTCCGTCTCCGCCGAAAGTGAACCAACCATCTTGACAATCGCCGCTGACGAACAGCGACAAACAACACTAACCAATCAGCGACGTCCATATCACCATGCGCAGACAGCGCGCTCCTATAAAAGTGGCACCCATTAGGCAAACTGACATTCAGTTACCTTTTGACCGGCCACGAGCAAGCCTCAGCAGCAGAAAAAGCAAACCTTTGTAGAGAGAAAGAGGAGAGAAATAAAGTAGTTACTAGCGTAGCCGTTCGCCGTTTAAATAATTACCAAGCACACATCCCTGGTTCGGAGCAAGCGTTGAAACCCACCCCCAGCTCTTTTCAGAGCTCAAAGAGATTGATTTAGATCGACGCTTGCCTCCTCCACCAATCATTGCCGATACAGTCCACTGCCGAAAGGGAAAGTGCCCTTCCCAGACCGAACATACAGAGAATTTCTGTACTATTATATAAACAATTTCAAGGAATTTCCAGAGAAAATTCCAGAGAAAGAATTCTGGAGAGATCTCTATGAAAGGAAATTAATAAAAAGGAATTGGAATTTATTGCAATCTATAAAATGTATGGAACTCTTTATTTAATTTGAAGTTGTACTGGACCGCTCTTCATGAATTAGAGGTCCGTGTGGGGTTTTTGAAAAAAAATGTCCATAAAGCACTAATATACAGGGTGCGTGACGAATTTTTGCAGTAAATGGCATATTTGAGAAAAAATACACCAGTTAGTTATTCTAGCAATGAATTTTGTGCGATTTATTTTCTTTCGCAACATATGGAAGTTGTAAGTAAATTTATTCAAAAAAATTGCCTTTCCTTTCGACGACTGTAGTTAGACGCTTACGGAAACTACAGTATGCACGTTTTAAAATGTTTCGATCCATAGATGTCATCACTGCCTTGATTTTAGCTTTTAGCGACTTAAGTGTTGTGTGAGGGGTTCTATTGGTATCCCGTTGGACGACGCCCTATACAAAATAATCCAACGGATTGATATCGGGACTGCTTGGGGGCCAAATTTCTTCCACCCAAATTTACGAAATATTTTCCGTAAGCCATTTCTGTGCTTTATTAGCAGTATGAGCAGGTGCTCCGTCTTATCACTTTCCCAAGCCTTTTTTTAATATTATACACTGTTCTTTCAGACACATTTACCGACCGAATTATTTCTTTCATGCATACTCCGGCGCGCAACAAAGCGACAACGGCTGACAGATTGCTCTCTTGTTTCGACATCTTTACGTTTACTCACCATTGTTTTTTTAAATCTTACACCTAACAGTATAAGCTATCCAGTGCTGCCAAATATATCTAAATCATGATGCACAAGCATGAGAAATTACTATTTGAAATTTACTGCAAAAATTCGTCACGCACCCTGTATTCTGAAGAAAGTTATAGCTGATGGGGTTGTGTTGCCAAAACCGAGTAGGTACTGCACCTGGAATTTTTTTGAAAATTACTGCAAAATCAGGGAATATCAGGGAATTTTGTTTTCTTCGTTGAGTCGACACCCTGTAATCTGACTCCTCACTTTGCAATTTAATGTTTGATTTAATTAATAAGGATTAAATCATTAAGACCAAACTCACGCTTAGAAAACATCAAGTAAGCGGCGCCGGTGGTGTAGTGGTTAGCGAGATTGCCTCTCACCCCAGCAGGCCTGGGTTCAATCCCAGTCGGCGCCGCCGGGCTGTTCTGAGGCATCTCTGATCACGCCTTCCTTCGGAAAGGAAGTAAAGTCGTTGGTCCCCGGTTCATGAGTTGATGGGCTTATAGGTAGGGTCCAGGTGTGGGAGCTGCCTCCCTGGCGTCGTTAGCATTGGTGCTCAGCATGGAAAACAAGATCGACGGAAAAACAAATCAAGGAAAAAAACATCAAGTTGACTATCTGGGGTCTCGAATAGACCACCAATAAAACTAACCCTAACGCAATATCGTAAAATTAACTTGAATTTCACATTACCAACATGACACAACAACTCGACCAGTCAATCTAGTGGAATTCATTACAATACCATTGAATTATATGTGTGTATTTTACATACTATTCTTGAGAAGTTACCTGAATTTTCAGGTGAAATTTGTCAGAACTGAGTGTCATGTCGGGTTGTCGGTGATTTTAGTTTCAACGTGTGCACACTAACGTATTTTTTTGTGTATTTTCCGAAGTGTGTATTTAAAATGGATCAATAAAAATGCTAAGGTTTTGACAGAACTATGCTGTGGCTACCACAGTATTTTCTTTGTTCCGTTCTGTTTTTCAGACCTGTCTGGACGTAGGCATCTTCCCAGATGCGTGGAAGCGGCAGAGGCTGGTGCTGCTCCCGAAGCCAGGAAAACCCCCTGGGGACCCGTCAGCATACAGGCCCATTTGTTTGCTGGACACCACTGGGCAACTGCTTGAGAGGGTCATCCTCAACAGGTTGTCGGCCTACACTGAAGGTGTAGACGGCCTGTTAAGCAGCCAGTACGGGTTCCGTAAGAACAGATCCACGGTGGATGCCATCCGCGACGTCATCCAGACGGCAGAGGTGGTCCACCGGAAACGAAGGGGCATTCGTTACTGCGCGGTGGTAACCTTAGATGTGAAGAACGCTACTCCAGCTCCAAATTCCCGGAGGGCTGTACAAGATTCTGGAAAGCTACTTCCAAAATCGTGTGTTGACGTAAGACACAGAAGATGGCGAAAAATGCGTTAGTGTCACCGCAGGAGTGCCACAAGGCTCCATCCTGGGCCCGGTGTTATGGAACGTCATGTACGATGGACTGTTGAGGATAAGATTCCCGGTAGGCATGAAAATTGTAGGTTTTGCCGACGATGTCACGCTGGTAGTCTACGGGGAATCCTTCGAGGAGGTAGAGCTGACAGCGGCTCACTGCGTCAAGCTTGTGGAGGAATGGATG